TCGTCAGTTAAATCATTTATATAAATTAAGAACAATAAAGGTCCTAGAACTGACCCTTGTGGTACACCAGAACCGACCTTTTCCCATTCAGATGACTGCCCTTCAATAACTACACGTTGAATTCGATTCTCTAAGTAACTTTCAAACCATTGTAAAAGAGGATTGCGAATTCCGATTGCTTCAAGTTTTTTTAACAATCCAGCATGCCATACTCTGTCAAACGCCTTACTTATGTCCAAAAAAACAACTCTTACTTCTTTGCCAGCTTCAAACGCGCAATAAATCTGATGAACAAAATACAGTAATTGATTTACTGTCGAATCACCTGGTCTAAATCCCGATTGAAACTTATATAAAAAGCCTATTTCTAACAATAAATTATAAAGTCTGATAAAAACGATTCTTTCACATATTTTTGACAAACATGGTAAAAGCGATATTGGTCTGTAGTTAACTTTTAATTGGGGTTCGCCTTTTTTAAATATTGGGACTACATTAGCCATTTTCCACACAGTAGGATACTGTCCTAGAGCAAGCGACAAGTTGATAAATTTGGTGAAAAAGGAATATATTCCATCACTACAAGATTTGATTATTCTATTTCCGATACCGTCAAACCCGCATGCCTTTCTAATGTCAACATTTCTCATTAATGCTAAAATTTCATCTTCATTAGCATGGACACGAGCAAGGAACGTGACAGTTTGGAATAATGGTATATCAGGTGAAGCAACAGAATTGGCTCCCGGTAGTTGAGTTTGGGTAACAAAATAGGAGTTTAAAATACAGGCTTTTTCTCTGGGATTATTTATCGAAATATTGTTTTCTAATATCGATGGTATTCTTGAACTATTTTTCTTGCCACAAAGATTTTTTGATATGGACCACCATTTTTTGGCACTTATCAGTGGATTACTTAAGTCTTTATTGACTTTATCATAATAAGATTGTTTAGCAGATCTAATCAATTGTGTTGTTAAATTACGTTGTCTACGGTAATTTTCCCATGAGTACTCATTTGGTCTATTATTATGAGTTCGAAGTTGTCGGTTACGTTTACGTATTGCACGACGAACCGCACCAGTCATCCAAGGTTTATCCCTTGGCCTTATAGTGACAATTTTTAACGGAATATGCTTCTCAATAATTGTGCGAAAATGGGCAAACCAAGTATTATAAACAATGTCAATATCAAAAGCACCATCGAAAAGAGAAGACCAATTTGATTGCAAGAGTTCCCTATTCAAAGCGGAGAAGTCAGCCTTATTAAAATTCCAGATCTCTCGTTTGTAGGAATGGCATTTAAGAGTTCGAATATTCATCTCAGCAAAAACAACAGAATGGTCACAGTTAGATGGCGGACTTAAAGTTCCCATTTTTGTGAAAAAGGTCGGACAACTAGTAATGACGAGATCTAGAATTGATGCATTATGGCTGGTGACTCGAGTGGGTTCTGTAATTAATTGAGTGAGGTTGTTTCCCTCCAAGAAGCTATGAAGCCGAATCCCTACATCAGTGCTTTCTTGTGGGTAGTCGATGTTATAATGTGCATTAAAGTCACCAACAATAATTAAATTGAAATCTATTGGCAGGTCACGTATCGCATCTAATGATTTTTGAAAGTCATTTAGAAATGTGTTTATTGAGCCAAGGTCATTGATTGGAGGCCGATAACAAACACAACATAAAAAATGGTTCTGATTTAGTCGAAACTCAATCCACAGAAGTTCGAGCCCTGCAATTTCGAGGTCAGGCCTTCGTTTTACAACAAGCGAATCGGACGTGTAAATAGCAACGCCTCCACCTAATCTCCTCTCTCTATCGCGCCGAATAATTGTACTGTATCCAGGAATAGCAAAAGAGTCACTAGAAATATATTCATTAAGCCATGTTTCAGTAATCGCAAAAATATCAAAATTATTCTCAATAACTAAGGAAGAAATTTCCTCAAATTTATCACGTCCTACATTCAAACTTCTAGCATTGAGTTGGCCGATAGTAAAAAAATTAACCGGACCTGGGTTGAGTTGAACATCATTAGATAGAATAATTAGGATGCATGCAACAAACAACATAACAAGGAATTCGCTAACACGAACAAACAAAAGATCTACAAAACCATAACCACAAAAGACATTCCCAAGGGCAAGGTCAAAACACCCAGATAAATTAAACATCCCGATTGCTGCTCTATAAAATTCCAAACTAACCCCCATGAGACCAATCAAAATAGAAAAAACTTACCTCATGCTGCACACACACAAAGACAAAACAACAAAGATAATAATATAAATTTAAAAAAGAATTGTTAAATCCCATATGAGGCGTGATCATAGATATCTTATATGGGCGTGATAAGTACATTCACAGCTAGCTGATCAAATAATTAATATGCAAAGTCAACGAGGCCATAAGTTAACAGATCATCCACAGATATTAATCGAAAAATTTTACTATCCGAAGCTCTCTTCGCAAAGATTTTGCCGTCCTTTGACCATGCCGATCCGACATTTCTACATTTTTTCTTTGCTTCGTATAAGAGATGTTGGTTTCTGCTCGTGAGATCTTCATTAATGTAATAATGGCTTGAGTACAGCTCTCGTCGTTGTCTCATAACAGCAATTTTATCCTTATGAGAATTAAAACGAACGATGATTGCTCTTGATCTATCTTCCCTAGGTTTGCCCACACGATGGGCCCGGTCAATATTCTTGTCACTGATGTCAACCTTCAATTTCTCTTTACAAAATGTTACAATTTTTTCAGCACAAATTTCACCCTGTTCTTCGTCGAGACCCGAAATTCGAACGTTGTGTCTACGGGAGTATTGTTCATTATCATTAGCCATATTTGATACGCTCGACAGTTGAGATTCGAGGCTTGATACTTTCTCCTGTAAGTCAACGATTGTTTTAGTTAAGGGCTCGATTACTTTAGATATTGCCACATTCAAAGCTTCCTCCATGGCCGATTGTATTAACTTTTGGAATTCTTCAGACTTGAGCGCCTCTTGAATTTCCAGCTTTATGGTAGCCACTAACGTTTCCTTGCTTCTTGTCGCCATCGTTATCGATTGAATTAAAGCGCTGTTGAATACTATTTCTAGCAGCGAATATACTTGACAATGATAATTATTTCATTTATTTGTAGTCAAGTTTGAAAAGCAAAATTTAAGTTTCTTACAGAGCGGCTTAAAGCACGTCCTAGCACGCTCCGCCTGGTTTTGATTCTAAGTTTGAAGAGTAAATTCTATGTTTCGAAGAGTAAATTCTAATATTTGAAGAGAAAATTCTAAGTTTAAAGAGTAAATTCCAAGATTTGAAGTGTAAATTCGATATTTAGAAGAGTAAATTCTAAGTCTTGAACAGTAAATTCTATGTTTCGAAGAGTAAATTCTAAGATTTGAAGAGAAAATTCTAAGTTTAAAGAGTAAATTCCATGATTTGAAGAGTAAATTCGATATTTAGAAGAGTAAATTCTAAGATTTGAAGAGTAAATTCTAAGTTTTGAACACTAAATTTTATGTTCCGAAGAGTAAATTCGATATTTTGAAGAGTAAGTTCTAAGTTTTGAAGAGTAAATTCTATGTTTCGAAGAGTAAATTCTAAGATTTGAAGAGAAAATTCTAAGTTTGAAGAGTAAAGTCCAAGATTTTAAGAGTAAATTCGATATTTAGATGAGTAAATTCTAAGATTTGAAGAGTAAATTCTAAGTTTTGAAGACTAAATTTTAAGTTCCGAAGAGTAAATTCGATATTTGAAGAGTAAATTCTAAGTTTTGAAGAATAAATTCTATGTTTCGAAGAGTAAGTTCTAAGATTTGAAGAGAAAATTCCAAGATTTGAAGAGTAAATTCGATATTTTGAAGAGTAAATTCTAAGTTTTGAAGAGTAAATTCTAAGTTTTGAAGCGTAAATTCTATGTTTCGAAGAGTAAGTTCTAAGATTTGTAGAGAAAATTACAAGATTTGAAGAGTAAATTCGATATTTTGAAGAGTAAATTCTAAGTTTTGAAGAGTAAATTCTATGTTTCGAAGAGTAAATTCTAAGATTTGAAGAGAAAATTCTAAGTTTAAAGAGTAAATTCCAAGATTTGAAGAGTAAATTCGATATTTAGAAGAGTAAATTCCAAGATTTGAAGAGTAAATTCTAAGTTTTGAAGAGTAAGTTCTATGTTTCGAAGAGTAAATTCTAAGATTTAAAGAGAAAATTCTAAGTTTGAAGAGTAAATTCTATGTTTCGAAGAGTAAGTTCTAAGATTTGAAGAGAAAATTCCAAGATTTGAAGAGTAAATTCGATTTTTTCAAGAGTAAATTCTAAGTTTTGAAGAGTAAATTCTAAGTTTTGAAGAGTAAATTCTATGTTTCGAAGAGTAAGTTGTAAGATTTGAAGAGAAAATTCCAAGATTTGAAGAGTAAATTCGATATTTTGAAGAGTAAAGTCTAAGTTTTGATGAGTAAATTCTATGTTTCGAAGAGTAAATTCTAAGATTTAAAGAGAAAATTCTAAGTTTGAAGAGTAAATTCGATATTTAGAAGAGTAAATTCTAAGTTTTGAACAGTAAATTCTATGTTTCGAAGAGTAAATTCTAAGATTTGAAGAGAAAATTCTAAGTTTAAAGAGTAAATTCCATGATTTGAAGAGTAAATTCGATATTTAGAAGAGTAAATTCTAAGATTTGAAGAGTAAATTCTAAGTTTTGAACACTAAATTTTATGTTCCGAAGAGTAAATTCGATATTTTGAAGAGTAAATTCTAAGTTTTGAAGAGTAAATTCTATGTTTCGAAGAGTAAATTCTAAGATTTGAAGAGAAAATTCTAAGTTTGAAGAGTAAATTCCAAGATTTGAAGAGTAAATTCGATATTTAGAAGAGTAAATTCTAAGATTTGAAGAGTAAATTCTAAGTTTTGAAGACTAAATTTTAAGTTCCGAACAGTAAATTCGATATTTGAAGAGTAAATTCTAAGTTTTGAAGAATAAATTCTATGTTTCGAAGAGTAAGTTCTAAGATTTGAAGAGAAAATTCCAAGATTTGAAGAGTAAATTCGATATTTTGAAGAGTAAATTCTAAGTTTTGAAGAGTAAATTCTAAGTTTTGAAGCGTAAATTCTATGTTTCGAAGAGTAAGTTCTAAGATTTGAAGAGAAAATTCCAAGATCGGAAGAGTAAATTCGATATTTTGAAGAATAAATTCTAAGTTTTGAAGAGTAAATTCTATGTTTCGAAGAGTAAATTCTAAGATTTGAAGAGAAAATTCTAAGTTTAAAGAGTAAATTCCAAGATTTGAAGAGTAAATTCGATATTTAGAAGAGTAAATTCTAAGATTTGAAGAGTAAATTCTAAGTTTTCAAGAGTAAGTTCTATGTTTCGAAGAGTAAATTCTAAGATTTAAAGAGAAAATTCTAAGTTTGAAGAGTAAATTCTATGTTTCGAAGAGTAAGTTCTAAGATTTGAAGAAAAAATTCCAAGATTTGAAGAGTAAATTCGATTTTTTCAAGAGTAAA